GTATGTCCCGGAATTGAAGCCTTCTCCCACACTCTGGTAAAGCCGCCGGGTGCAGCGGACGATTCCCTAGGCCATTGCAAAAGAGTGGGACTGGTTGCTTCAAGCACAACTCCCGGGACCAAGGTGGACCCTCAGACTCGGGCGTAATCTTCTACACATCATGGCTGCAGCACGTACTGCGGGATGCGAGAAAGTGCCCCTGTGGGGGTCAGCGCCCTGGTCCAGGACTTCGTGCACGACCTCAGCATGTGCCGCTTTTTGAGAGGCCTGGGCTAAGGCTTGTTTTGGCAGATTTGGGTTCGTGGTTCGGGCTTGGTCAACTTGAAGCCCCGGGCGTGCGCTCCGGAGGGCCTGATTCCTGGAGCGCGACTCGCTGCAGACAGACTCCTCGCAACGGAAGGAATACTCATCATGACAGCCCCAAAGTCCCCCTGAGCTTACGAGGGACTCCAGCCCCCAATTCCACAGAGACCGTGGCCCTGTCACCCTGAGGGCACAGCGGCGATCCCCAAGAAGCGGCGCGATTCATGCGAGAGGCGGGGAGTGCATCTTGGGAGGAGGAGCTGCAAAGTAAGCAGGAATGCCGGGGCGTGCCTATTTCAAGAAGGATTCACATGTCTTCACGTATGTGGCTGTGTAGGCAGCTAGGAGTACATTCCGCAACGGGAACAGGCTGCCCATAACGGGAAATCGTAACAGGAACGGAGCCCGACACCGTAACAGCAACCGGCGGTTCCCGTAACAGCCCGCAGGCAGGCCCTCGCAACAGGAACTGGGGGAAGCGCTCCATAACTTTTTTGCATCCAGCATCTCTGCTAGGCTCCCCAACTCAGGGCCCGCTTTCCGACCCCCCACTTACAGGGATTCCGATCTACGATTCCAGCATGCCTTTCCGACATTATTCAGCTCGAGCCAGCAGAACTTCACGACGAGGGTTGCTTTGGACATATGAACTGTAGCAGTGAGCCTTCAATCCTGAAGCATTCTTCGACATGTTAAAACCCTCTGCATTGCCACTGCCATCTTATATCCCAAACCTTGAATCTTATTAAACCCTAAACTTCCCACAGAAGAGTCGCAACGTAGTTTCCGCTGCTTGGCTTTCCAGGGATAGTTTCCTTTACGCTAGGGCTGCGGTTGCTGTTTCTACTAGCGCCCGTTTCTTTTACGGTGTGCAGAAGTGGTTTCCGTTACTCCCCAAAGCGGTTCCCGTTACTCCCTGCACCCGGCAGCGAGGTGGGTGGGTATGTGTATGCGTATGTATGTGTGCGGATGCATGATGCGTGTATGCTTGGCAGTACCGCGCAGCCCTGTACATTTGTAACTGGACCCTGTTTGTGTGCAGGCAATCGAATATCGGTGCCCTGCCAGCAAAGTGACTTCGTGTTGCGACCTCCGCTGAGCCTCCGTCGATAGGGCTTTGACGTCAACTCTTTGCTCACGCCCTCGTCGATGCATGGTTTGGGTTTCGGGCTTCGTTCCTATGCGAAGTCGAAGCCCGAAGCTTTTTTTCGGGGTTGGTGCGAGTGGCTTCAGGGTTTCGGTCGCTGAGGTTGGACTTGATCTCGAAGTCGCCCGTCAAGGAGCCTGGTCTTGGATTTGGCTCTCGGACATGTTGCAGCTTATTTGCGCTGAGAGCGGCGATGTGAGCAGGAGATTCGTGAGCGTCTCGGCGGATGCGAGCAGGTGCCTGCTGAAAATGGACGCTCAAGGTGTTTTGTGTTGCAAGAACAGGGCCGTGTTGGTGACAGAAGCTTTCCCCTCGAGGCTCAAAAATTCGACCAACGCACAGAGCACCCAGAAGATCTCGCATGTACAGGCTTAGCTGGCTTAGCTTTGCGCAACAGAAAGGCGAGATGCTCCAGTCCTTTACCGTTCTGTTCCCCGGCGTTTATCATTGCATGCACCGCTCTCCTCTGCTCCGGTGAGCTCCGATTGCCTAGCAACGAATCCTGAAATTAATGATTACCACCTTGTTACCCAAATGGACCCCGGTGTCACTAGGTTAAGTGGAGGTCCCAGGCGTTCCGTGTTCAATCCTGGATTGAGAGGTAGACCTCGAAATGCTGCCCAGAGCAGAAGAACTGCACCTTGGCATCAAGCTTGGGCATAACTTGGGTTTCGAAGCAGGGCAGCCCCAAATACTGTGCTTGTAACACCAAACTCCCACCCGAATTCCCACACCCTCTAAGCCGTGAGCTCTACATCCTTGGGAGAAACCTCCCGAATCGGGGATCTCCTCCCCAGTCCAGGAACTCCATCTGGTGAGGTTAGAGGTTGCACGCACGGAATCCAGGAACAGCATCTACGATCCCAGGCGACAATCCCAGCGACTCAGGAGACCGTTTGGACACACCGAGCTCTCCAGAGCCCACGATCCCAGCGTGGACGGACCTGCCAACAAAAGGATTGCGAGCGAGATTTTAGAAGGCTTCCAAAGAGACTTGCCAGACTAGACTTGAAGAGCCGCGAAGAAGTTGCGGAACGTTCAACAAACGCAAGCATTCTCCATACCCGCGACGACCTCTGTATGACTACTCAAAGGACGCCGGCAATCCCCTATGCCACTTGACGCTTGTGAGCCCTCTAGGCCCCCATGATGCAGGCCCGTGACCTGGACTCCAGCCGAGGAAAGACGACGATCCGAATTTTGTACGCAAACATGCGCAGGCGAAGCATCGTGACGTGCCCGACTGGGTGCCAAAAGAAGCTCCTTGTTGCCAGTGATGGACCCCGCCCGCAGCACCTGCATGTCGATCAGCATGAAATGTGCCTCGCAGCACATCCGTCTTTTTGGAAAGAGTCAGACTTTTGTCTCTGTTGCGACGATTGGACGCTATTCCTGGCATGGTTCATGCTGGCCATGTTGATGGCTTGCAAACTGGCACTGGAACCTGAAACTTGCAAACTTCTGAGGATTTCAGAATTGTCGCAGTGTGAAGCCTGCGTCTGCAACACCTTTGAACCTTCAAGCACATAAGCTCCTTCAAAGAAGTCCTCAGGCTCGACTGCTTTCCCGTGCGCGTTATTCGAGGCCGCTCAATGGACTCTTGGGCCGCAGCATCCACGGGGCTTTCAGCTTAGGGCCCCTCATTTCCAAAAGTCCTGTTTTTGAGTTTTTTGTTGAGCTGGTTCAGCATTGAGTCGCATGCTGCCTTCGAAAGACGTGCCTTGAACAGAATTCTGCTGGTGACGTGTGGTTGACTTCCGATTCTTTGAAGTCCGAAAGATTCTCGTACCTGTGCCTGCAAGCGGGTATCTCCATGCACGCGTTGCTTTTGAGCTTGGGCTGCGTGGTGTAGAGCCACAATTTTTCCAAATACTCTGAACACTCTTTGCACAACATGAGGACTCCTTGCCGATTATCTGTTCTGCCGTGCCTGGGCTTACAAAACGGGCAGGGCCATGCCATGGGCAAGGGAGTGAGTTGAGTCAAAAATTGCCGAGCTGCCATCCCATCATCATGCCCGCAGAAATTCAGCTATGATGTTTCTTGACTGGGTTCTGATCTTATCAATGGAGGGTTACTGAGGCCGAGACTAGAATTTCAGAAGCGTCCTTGCGCCTTCGAACTCGCGACCAGCACGTCCCCTCATCCCTAAACCCTAAATCCTAAACCCGGGGCTGTAGGTTGCAGTGGGAGATTGTGTGTGGCCAGTAATTCGACTGCGAAGGCAGTTCTTCGGGCTCTAGGGTCTGTAGTTACGATGGGTTTGTATGCTAGTAGAAGTCTGTTTCGAACTGCCCGCCTAGTTTGTGCAAGAGTACCTATTGTTGAGCACAGCTCCGATAGGAGGACAACCACATGATTCATGCTTGTGTACGGTTCTAAGGTTTTGTGTGTTGATTGTGCACGGTTCTAAGGTCTATTGATGTGTGAGAGGGGTCAGCACGAACGTGGTAGTCCAAAGCCTCAGCCAAATTGGCATTCGACCTAACTTAACAAGGCAGGTGGAAAAGAGGTGACAAAAAACCTTAAATCCTAAACCCCAAACCCTAAACCCGTTCCCCTTCATCCCGAAAGCTGCAGCCCGGGCCCTGCACAATCCGAGGTCCAAGGCCTTTTGCCCACACTCGAGGCCCCCTGGAGCCCCATACTCTAGAAGCCTAAATAATTACTAGTAAGATTTTGGGCTTTAGGGTTTAGGGTTTGGGGTTTAGAGTTTAGGGTTTAGGGTTTAGGGTTTAGGGATAGAAGCCTAAACAGTTACCAATACTATGTTGAGGGTTTATTATAGTTGTAGTATAATCTACCCCAAAGCCATATTCTAATTATTAAGGCCCCTACATTATATTATGCCGAGTGCTCCCAGAGGTCCGCTTGGCCGACTTCCGGAGATTGGAATCTGTTGGTTGGCTGCAGAAGATTTCATCCGGTGGTTCCCAAGGTTCCGGGAGGTAGGGACAGTCGCACGGGTACCGGTTTAGGGTGTAGGGTTTAGGGTTGTTGAAGATGTCGGACCCTCGACGATGGTTTGTCAGAGCTCACGGTGGGAAGAAACGCGTGCATGTTGAGGGCTGTAACCCGCAGCAAACTTCTACAACACACACTCAAGATTCGATTCATCGCGCATCATTCGTAGGACTCCATGTGTTCGGAAGTGTCGGAACTTCATTGAGGTGGGGTCCAAGCTTTCCTTCGAATTGTTTTGCTTCTTCCAAGCCATGATTGCTGACGTTGAGAGGCTTTACGCAGCTTCCCAAACTCCATTTTGGTCTATCCGCCGAGTCCCAGAAGTCAATCCCCCAAGCCCCCAAGCTGCCCAGTTTGGAGATGCGGCCAGACGCCTGGCAGCAAGTATCCCATGCTCTGATGCGTAGTCGGGAGAGTTGAATCCGAAAGCCTTCTGCAATGCAAGGCTTTCGTGAGTGACCTTCGAACTTGGTTCCTTCGTTTTGAGAGTCTAGATGGAATTAGAACAAGGAGCCTGTGCAGGTGTTGGCCTTTGCCTGCGAGCAGCGACATCCGAGTCTAGGAAGTAATCAGGGATGCCTTCGGCATGTCGCTGGATGAGTCTGACATTGAAGGGTTGATGGAGGCTGAAAGAGGCAGGTAGCTCTCTTTATCTCCGAAGGCTTGTGTGTTCACCTGCCAGCCCTCTGCATGATTATCGTTTCAGGTTTTTCTGCGTGGAACGAAGAAGTGAAAGTGTTCCTGCATGTATGTAGTCAGTCCGTTCCGTCGGTCTGTTTGTCTGCCTGCCTGTCTGTGTGCCCCTATTTATGGATGTTCAGTATGTGTAGTCGTCAAACACCTCAGGAGACGACTTCATACTGGCACAGCTGGAGCAGCGTTGGATGGTGCTGCACAACCTCAGCCAAAAGCAGTTCTTCGCACCAAGCAGTAAGAGCTTTAGGGACTCCGGATTCCGGTGCCAAGTTCTGGTCGAAAAGATCCTAAACCCTAAACCCTAAACCCTAAACCCTATCTGTAGTGCTGCGGCTTGGCTGGCCTCTGTTGCCCAAACTTCAGCCTTCGAGCGTGGGTATGTCAGATTGAAATCAGACTCGTCTGACTACGGACAGTCCCGGAGTCTAACCCTTCAGGGAAAATATAAGGGATCCTAGCACTAATACAAGGGCCTTAATCATGTTCAATGGGGTTATGGGTTCTTATGGTAGGGCTGCGGACATCCGAGTCGCCTAGGACCGGTTTCGGGCCTCAGAGCCGGTGTGACATGTAGCCCAAAGTTTCCCCAAGGGCTGACACAGTTGTGCTTTGGGAAGGACAGAAAAGGGAGTTTCAGAAAATAGGGGACATAGTACAGTACCCTAAATAGTAGGATCCTTATTATAAGGACCCCCAAAATAAGGTACCCCTAATTTTCGGAAACTCCCAAAAAGGAAGGTTTTCGGCCAAGGCTTCTCCGTTGATCGCAAGATCTCTTTCCCCACCCCTTCTAGCACCGATAGCAATTTCGCAATTCCTTCGACAAGACAAGGCCAGGAAGTAGTAAGGAGGCAAGGTGGAAATAGAAGAGCCGGTGGGGCCACGATTTAGGGAAGCAATCCGTCAGTATATATATATATATATATATGTCAGGAGTAAGTAAGATCAACTTACTTCAAGGCTATGCTGGCTACGCAAAGAAGATTGTTATTTTGGACTTGAAGGGCAAGGCACACAAGTGCTTCGTTGCAAGGCGCCGCATGGTGAAATACTTCGAGGCAGCTGATGAAAGAGTTCCGACCACTCACCGGGGGTGCCTATGCTTTGGACTAGCCATGTCTTCGACTATCCTCACTTTCTTCTCTTTGGGTCGTCTCTGGGTTTGAAGGAGCATTTCCATACCATAAAGGATCCTTTTTGATAAGAGCGGTCCTTGCAGAGCCTTCGCACACGACCTTCATCGTGCCAGCCGTGGCTAGTTGAAGCCTCGCTTTTGACGACTTGAGTCTAGCAATTCGCAAGCCGTCCCTTCGCTCTGTAGATGTTGTGGAGTTTGTTGTAAATGCAGTATCTCAAGAACCCAAAACCTACTTTTTTGTAGGGTCCCTATAAATCCCATATTAGGGTTTACAATAAGAACCTACAAACATTAAGTGGGTTTGGGGTTCTTAAGGTAGAGCCCCAGCCGGAGACCTCCGACATCTCCAAACGCCTCGCAACGCAGACAGCGCTGCAACACGACCCTTTGATCCCCCACGAGCAGCTCTGAAAGAAGCGGAGATGTGCCCAGAATCCCCGAGCTCTTTTCAACATTCCACCTACCTACCTACCTCTCCCTCTCTCTTTCTCTCTCTCCCTCTCGTCTTGATCCTGCATGTTCGAACAAACCCAAGCCAAACAGATGCTGCTTAGATCTTTCCTTGGACCTTTGTCTGCAGATTCGCGACATGAATGGCGCTGCGATTTCAACCCTCATGTCTGAGGGCACCAACCAGCTTTCGAAGATAAAGCTCCTCGCCCGAGATATGAGGGGAATTTCAAGGGTTTAGGGGGAGCCTTCCTATTGCGAAGTGTCAAGGCGTCTCCAGAATCCGAGACCCGAGCTCCCCAAAACCCAAAACCTTAAACCCTAAACCCTGAACCCTAAACCCTGAACCCTGAACCCTAAACCCTGAACCCTGAACCCTAAACCCTAAACCCAAAAACTCCCAAAAAAACGCTGGGACCCCAGGAGCACGTTGGGCCTGGTGCAAGACTTCTACCCTGAGATGATCCATCAGGTCCGGCCCGGCTTGATGTAGGGAGCCTTAAAACAATTGCCTATCGTATTTTTTGGGGTTCCTTGTTATAAATATACTATCATGGGCCCCAAAACCCTATTAAAATTACTAAGGCCCTTTATAATCTCTTCTCCCCGTTTTGAGATCGGGTTCTGGCTGCGATGTTTTGCAGGTCTCGGTGCTCAACTCTACTTCTGCCTTCTCGGGGCCCCTTTGCGGCGAAGTTACCGGAGGTCTTTCGGGATCTGGCATTGAGGATTTTCATGGTACTCACGGTCCGGAAAATCTTCAGGCCTTGAGGGGCACGCTTTTCCACATTTCAGCGCCGCTGACTGAAGACCTTGCACCCAATTACTAGCCTCGCGGTCGCGGACGCACAGATTCCTGCACCGACACGAATTATCTTGGCTAGATTCCTCGTCCCACTGCCATAGCCTAGTCCGAGACTGCACCCGGGCGCAGTCCGCCAAACTTTAGGCCTTTGGGCCTCGGGGCGCTTTGACGAAGTTGACCTGATTGATTCGGGAACATGTTGGCTTAACTTACAAGGCGGTAGCTTGGGAATCGAGTCATGGGGGGCACTTCCACTTCCACATCTCAGGCTTTTCAACTTTGTCTCCCCGCTGCTGAATGAGCGGATGCAAGCCAAGATCAAGGCACGTCTCGGAAAAACGGTGCTTTGCACAATAGGGGACCCTAAGATAGTACCCCAAATAGTAGGATCCTTATTATAAGCACCCCCAAAGAAGGCACCCTAACTTTCGGGCCCAAGTCTTTTTGGGAGGTCTCCGCCACCGGCCTCCCCTTCGAGGACTCCAAGACCAAGAAGACTTGCCATGGACAAAAAAACCCTAAACCCTAAACCCTAAAAGTTGACCTTGGCAGTCCGTAGTCGCTTGGAGCCTACAGCTGCACTCTTGATGTTCCATTCCTGATGCCAACATGAAACTGCGCCAAACTTGAAGCACATTCCCTAGCGATACCATATTGATGGAGTCTGCCCGAAGACCGAATCAGTAGGGGGTGATTAGTTGCCTGTCAGGGCAGGCTTTGACTTGGAGTCGTCAACTTCTACCATGGCAGCTTTAGGATTTCTATCGGATGCGCGCCGCAGGAGCTTGCCGGGCTTATGGAGCCCAAGGCCCTGCACTCTTGGGTGCAGGCGCGTGCCTGCAGCTCGAGCTTCGGTTCCGAGCCCTCTGCTTCTGTCCCATACTTCTCCACAGCTGTTCGGTCATAGAGTCCTTCTCATTCTCCCAGGAACCTTACGCAGGAAATCGGCCGCAGCCTGAACATAAAAAAGCATCCATGAAGTGCCAAGAGCAAGCTGCGCGTCATCTAGGCTCGGCACAGTGCTTATTTCGTAGAGCAAAGCTGGAAGCTCCCCAAAACGACATGTCCCGCATGGCTGTTGTTTTTAGAGACGAGAAGATGTCGTACCATACTTTCTCCACCGTGCCAGGAGACCAGCAAACATCTCAGCCCAGCTCCCAGAAAGTGGTGCCAGGGAGGGCCAGGGAAGATCTGGGCCAAGCAACCCTAAACCCTAAACCCTAAACCGGCTTGGGGCTTCTGGAAGCCCCAAGTCGGCTCCAAAGACAAGAGCGTCCCCAGGTTGGTCGCATCTGGTTGTGCCCAGTGGTGGGAATGCAGCCAGTCTGCAGTGGCCATGGCGGTGGGCAGTCAGAATTTAGAGATTCTGCCTTGAGCAATTTCGTTTCCGTGTCTGGTCTGAACCCCAGTAGTCAGATTGCAACTCTCTACGTACCGTGACCAAGTTCGGCTTCATGCAGGAACCCCGAACGCACCAAGACCCAAAGCTTCGTGGATCTGGACTGGACCTATAAAATCTTGCCCAAGCTAAACCCCACGAGCCCTTAGCTGCAGGTTCTTTGGTGGGTTGCTGATTCCTAGTATTAGTATGATCATTGTTCCTCCTCCTCCTCCTCCTCCTGCCACTACTCCTACTCCTAAGTTCATGAGTAGATGCCAGAAGGTTGGAACATCGTTCTCCGCATGCTCTGAAAGGCCATGTATAGGAGACCCTTGCACGAATTTTCCTAAATCAATGTTCCAACTTTCTGGATTCACTCTCCTACCTCTACTGCTACTACTGCTACTACTGCTGCTGCTGCTGCCACTGCTGCTGCTGCTGCTACTGCTACTGCTGCTACTGCTACCGCTGCTGCAATTGCTGCTGCTACCCTATCCTCCTGCTTCTGCTCCTGCTACTCCTACTACTTCTGTTCCTACCCTTCCCCTACCCGTACTCTCCTACTGCTGCTCCTGCTACTCCTACTCCTACTACTGCTCCTTCGGCTTCTTCTGCTACTGGTCCTGCCATTGCCAAAAACATGGCTCCTGCTACTGCCACTGCTGCTGTGATGACCACCACCACCACCACCACCACCACCACCACCACCACCACCACCACCACCACCACCACCACAACCACCCCCATTCACTGCCACCGTCACGGCCAGCGCCACCACCAACTGAGTTTCTGTGCAATCGAGGGACTGTCGTGACAGCTTGAGAGGGAGCTATAAGGCCTGGGCGTGGAGAGAAACCACACAGTCCAGGAATTCCTCTCGCGCTGGTTGCATCCGGGGGATTCGCTGGAGTGGACCTGGCCTCGGTTCGGCTTCTGGCTGGGCCTTGCATTGAGATGTGCTGCCGGTTTCGTTCAAGGGTTTCCGGGCCTGGGAATCGCAGACCCTCGAGACGCTGCAGATGACTTCAAACACGGAGCTTCGTAACCTGTATCAGGACCCACATGCTCGCTCGCCACGCTAGTAACAGAAATGAGCCACTGCCCGTAAGGACAGCCATCCTCGAGGATGGAGAGCAGGCGGCAGGGTTCTGGAAGGAGTGCAGGGCCGTTCACATTCGTATGCCGCCTCTGTCCAGTGTCCAGCTTGCGAGGGCTGTCACACTTCTGTTCTGGCATTTCTTCTTTGGGGGCTTCGCGATCTCTAGAGCCCTCTCTTATTTCGCGGAGACCACCCTCCAACAAACCTCACAGCTGCCATGTTCTTGGCGCAGGTGATGATTCACAGTGCCTTCCTTCCACAGGCCTGTTGATTAACTGATTGATCTGATTGCCGGATTTCGGAAACTCCTCTCTGGGTTATCTTATGGGCTCGGACAGTAAAGCCATGGAGCGTACGGCATGTTCTAAGAGTTGCCTGGTGGATGTTAGAGGTGCGACTCTCGAACATTACAGCCAAGAGCTGGAAAACCTGCGCAGTTTCTTGCCGGCTTTGTGTGTCGGGCCTACGGCAGGACGAGTCGCAACAAGAAGAGCTGGCATTCGTGGGCGAGGATTCGTTGCAAGACTTCCGATAGAACTTGCAATGGAAAGAAGTCACACAAGATCTCCAGTTAAGTTTGACTTCAACTGAAGCTCGGCCAAGTGGCTCAATGCTGCTTTTGAGCTTCGCTCAAAGACTTCCCCACCCCCTGCAATCCTGCAAAAGGAGAAGCTGCTTCTGCGGAAGGCCATCACCAGCGAGTTTGAGGCACCGGCGGAAGGCGCGGTTAGCCTCGAAGCCAAGATCCCTTCTCCATGCTACCGACCCCTGGGTTGAGCATGCCTAATATAGGGGCCTTGATAATTACCTATAGTATTTTGGGGGGTTCGTTGATATAATTATAGTACAATGGGCCCCAAAACCCTATTCTAATCATTAAGGCCCTATATTAGCCGCCTAGCCGTAATGAGGAAGAGAGCCCAGTTTTGATGTGACCGCTCCGAACCACCTGCCTCCGGATCCGCTCGACCAAGCTCAGATGGGGGTTTCCGAAAATAGGGGACCCTAATATAGTACCCCAAATAATAGGATCCTTATTATAAGGACCCCAAAACAAGGTACCCCTAATTTTCGGAAACTCCCAGATAGGTGTTTAGTTCTTGCGCCCGGTTTCGCGGTGCTTGGGGTCCTTGCCTCGACGACTCTCTCCTCTCTCGCACAGGGAGAGAAGTCCGACGGGTGACGGGTGGTTTTGAACTTACATGTGTGTGCGGAGGGCGTAACAGACTCCTCATCCCGGAAGCAGTAGACGTGTCACAGAGATATGGTGAGATGCAGTAGTCGCTGTCCTCTGATTGTTGACAGCCCTTCAGCCCCCGGTTGGGGGGGGGCACAGGAAAAAGGAGCCAGTGGCTGCAGACTGACAATACTGGGGATCCAGTAGCACGATGCATGTAGATATCGTTGTAGATATCGTTGCTGGTGTTGCAGACAGCTCAGTCAGTCTTTCGGAAGAGCAAGTAAAGGCTCACGAGAAGCATCCACACCTCTCCCCAACAAGGGTGTGTGTGTGTGTGTGTGTGTGCGGGCGAAGGGGGAAAGTCTCTGCGGATGCACAGAAGAGAAACAAAGACGTAGAGCGAGCGAGAGCAAGAGCTGTCGATGTGCGGCCGTGCGTGCAGGTCGGAAGGGGGAAGCAAGGAACAAAAGGACATTGCTGGTAAGAAATGGAAACCCGAGTCGCCTTGGCAACTTAGCAAGGCTTTGTGCTGGAAGCCCGACCAGCAGAATTTAAAATGCAGCTCACACTGCTTAGCCGTGACAGCGGTGGAGAAAAAACTGCCCTCCAAGAACAGAGCGTTCTTGGCTTCGGTCTGGCATCGCCTGGCTTGCCTTTGCCAGTTACCACAATCCTCAACGAAGTGCGTCTCGATTTAGAGACAGAGTTTCGTAACAAAGTTGTTTGCGTGAATCTGTAGATTGCAGACATGTCCGATAGCCGGAAGCACTCACGAGCTTTCCGTAAGTGCCACGTGCAAACGACGGAAGTTCGAATGAGTCCGATGTGCGGAGTCCCCCGGAGTGGTGCAGGTATTTACTGGCTTTGTGTGCTGGCCCCAGCCGGGACCGGGATGTCAGGCAACTGTGAGTCCGACAGCTGTCAGAAACACTGGACGCATTGAAGACCATCTGGCCCTGGTATCCTTTGGCAGACCTGTACCTGACTGACTGATCTCTGTTCCACTGGTCTCGAACAGTATGCTTGTGCTTTGAGGTCGTTGAATCTAAGCAGCCGGGAGGGACCTGAGAGAGCCCAAGAGCCGCAGCCACTCGAGAGCGCGGCGCGTTCCCTCTTTCTCTTAAGGTCGACAACAGCGCCTCGTGGGTGAGCAGCAAGACAATCACCATCGACGTTCGGTGATCTCACCTGGAGATTTCACAGCACCTCCCACTACCCTCCAAGCCTGACGGAGCAACGAACTTGCAGCTCTGGTGGTACAGATAGGCGAGGGTTCTGACAAGCAGCAGCTGGGCCGCGGAGGGCTTGGTGCGGGTAGTCTGACCTGAGCGTTGCGAGACTCGGCTGTGAAAGCTGCCCAGAGAGCGCAAAAGAGACACTTCTGTGCCCAAGAGGTTCATGACCGAGTTTGGAATGCCTCGCAAAAGGGAGGCCGCGACATGATCGCGTGTTTAAAGTTGAGTGAGACAGGTATTGTAGCAAGTGGTGTAGCAACAGGACACACAGACATACAGCGCACGTGCGTGCGTGTGCGTGTGCCTATGCTTATGCACTCGCATACAAAAACGCATGCATTAATGAATAGAATGGGATGGAATGGAATGGGATGGAATGAGGGAATGAAGGAAGGAATGAAGGAATGATGGAATGAAGGAATGGTGGAATGAAGGAATGAAGGAATGGAAGAATGGAGGAATGGAGGAATGGAATGGAGTGAATGGAATGGAGTGAATGAGTGGATGAATGAATGAATGCCTGAGCGACTGAGCGAGCGAGTGAGTGAGGTAATGAATGAGTAAAGGAATGAATGAAGATGGATGGATGGATGGATGGATGGATGGATGGATGGATGGATGAATGGATGAATGAATGAGTGAGTGAATGAGTGAGTGGGTGAATGAGCAAGCGAGTGGTTGAGAGAATGAAAGAACAAACGAATGAGCTAATAAAAGAGTGAGTGAGTGAATGAATGAGTGAATGCATGCATGCATGTATGCATGTATGTATCCATGCATGCATGTAGGTAGGTTTGTGTGTATAGGTGTTTATTCCTGTCTGTGCATGAACATACATACACGTAGAGTGACCCTGCCTGGCCTCTCGGCACGTCCTCAGGGTCCTGCATGGAGCTTTGTGCGGACCACCGCATGTCTCCGTTCGCCTCAACGCACCAGGCCAGTACCCTTAAACCATGCAGGCAACAATACGGGAGAGCTCTGTTCCAGAAATCCTACTAGCATTCTTGCCAGAAGGTTAAATCTACAGTAGTGTCAGAAACAGTTTCATAGAAGCCTTGCATGACATGAAAGTCCGGGAGGGGGAAGAAATTACATTAAAGTCGTCCGCGCCACTCGTGTCGCTCGTGCCAGGCGTGCCACTCGTTCCACTCGCGACACCGAACGAGTGGAACAGCTAAGGTATGGGGCGAGTGCAGGGAGTGGAACAAGTGGAGCAGGTGGGGCGCGGGGCGAGAGGAACGAGTGGAACGTTGGGGCGAGTGGAACGAGTGAAACAGGCCGATTAGCGTCCCCCTCAATGCCGACACTCTCTGACAGTCGGTCCGGTCTTCTGCAAGAGTCCCCCACCTCATTTCACCACATGCCTGCTGAACTCGTAGACGTCGTAGTCATTTATTTCAATCACAATGCAAAATCGAGACGATGCCTCAATGTTGCAAAGACTGCTAGAACCCTAACCCAGGAGTTTGCATTTCGCCAAGCCGGGTCTGCAGTCCAGCGAGACATTCAGCGTTTGACGAGGCCCTACACACAGGGCCTGATAAATTTTTTTGTCGAAAAAGCACCGATTTTTTCAGGGAGTACATGATTCCCTGCTTCTTATCGTGCGGAACAAAAACCCTCCAGTGCCTGGCTACAGGCTTGCGGCACTGACTGTCTCTCAAGCCTCCATGGACCGCAACCTTTCACTGAGGCAAGCGTAGACTTCGAGTGCGAACCGTGGCCAAGCTTTCCCCAGGCACCTGCGAATGGGTTGCCTTCCGGGTAGCGTCGGGATTTTGGATTGCATTCAGGAGCTATCGGAGTTTGTTCAGGGAACCTAGCCTTCTTGGCTCTAGAGGATTTATTGACGTACAGCAGCATTTGTCTTCAGCTGGGCGACACAACGACAGTCTTTTGATCTGGCCTGACGCTTGATTTTGGATGCCAGAAGCCCAGTGGGCTTTGAAGAATCGAAGGTACCACTGCCACCTCACTCACAGTAACAGGGCATGATATTGTGCCAGTTGAGATCACTACCACTGGCAGCCGCCAGCTAGCAGACTTGGCATTGTCTCCATACTTGCGGCTCAAGTGTACCAGTATGTCGTACATTAGTTTCTATCCGTTTAAGAGCCGGTGTTTCCTTCACCAACTACTGGTCCAGGCTCGAGACCTTTGCCAACAGCTGCTGGCCTTCCAGCCGGAGGATGCGAAACTGCCGATCCCGAATTCCCTGTGACCTCCTCAACTCCAAGAGCCCACCCGGTTTAGAACGGCGCTATCTGAGCCGAAGCATAGATCTCGGGATTTGTGGGTGAGGATTTGTCAGCACCTATGTAGAGCTCTCCCATCCCCATGCCCCACGGAGGGGTTCCAAAGCGGTTTCGAAGCCTGCGAAGCTAACTAACTTTCTGATAGAAAGCAAGGCAAATCCCACGAAGCTCAACATCTGGCTTGACCATGTTTTCCGGGAATGTATTGCAGGTTTAGTGTTCTGACAGCTTTCGCACGAAGAAGGTATGGAAAGATCTGCTGGCGCGTCGCATCAGAGCCCTCCTTTCTACGGATTGCCCTAAGCGAAAAGGTGCAGTTCCAGTAAAAGACTCATGTCGTTCCTTGAAAGAATCAGTTCGTTCGCATGAGATCGCGGCCAGGACAGAAGTCCGTCGGCGAGGGCCGCGCTGAACCACCCTTGGTTGAAAGGCAAGTGAGCCTTTGACACCCCTGGGGCCTTCCAAGCCCTGGGTTTCCCGTGGAGCTCGAACACCCCTCCGTGCGATCCTTTGTGTTGCTGCGGTTCCGCAGCGCCAGCACAGACTTTGACCCCGGTATGGCTCGCCACATTGGTTTGCTGTAAAGATCAGTGTAATGTAATCATCTTCGCCGTTTCTCAAACGGGTGAGATGTATCGAAGAGAAGCACCGTCTTGTACGTTCGCAAGCGCTGAACACAGCTGCAGGAGTTTAGCCTCCTATGGGAACCCCCCCCCATTTCTAAAGCTCTTGTTCATCGGCATGCTGTTGCCAAGCACGTTATCCTTCACTGCAACAAAGGTCGAGCATGTAAGACATTCACGACCCGGTTACAGGAGTCAGAACTCGGAGAAGTGGCGAGCTCTCAGGGGCAACATCCTCCCCCTCCTCCTGGCATTTGCAAGGAAGCATAAACGTCCCGGTGACAGAGCAGCGGATCTTGTGTTTCCAACCAGTAAACACACAGACTCCCACTGCAGCCGGAAATCGACCCTAGCCTACAGCTGAGTCTGTGAGATGCCTGTCCCACTCAGACTGCCTTCCTTGCCCCTCTGACATCCTCTGACTGGGCGCAGGGGATCTAGCGGCCAGCGAAGGTAGCCTTGAACTTGTCAGCCTTGTCCCAGCAACCCAGTGACGTGAAGAGATGCCCCTGCTGCCATCCTCGTAGCTGGACTTGTCCGGGATGCGACCCGGAGCAAGGCCATCAAGGGCCTGGCTCCGGCGCTCAGCAAGGAAGGATCCGAAGACTCGTTTGAACTTCTTATCCCGGATGCTAGCAGATGGAGTAGTCATGTGTTGAGAGCATCCAGCCAAAGGCTGTGGTGTCGTTGCAGTGATTGCATGCTCCCTCATGATCAGGGTTTTCCATTTCGACGGCTCCCATCCCCCACCCTTACGGGAGCCGCCGGAAGTGCAAGCAAGACCTCGCATGTACAGAGCTTGCCAAGCTTCCAGCAGGGCGAGCACGGGGGGTCGGGGCCAAGAACTCGACCACCACGAAGCAAGCAAGCTCAGCTCTGCACATGCGCGGCGAAAGCGCAGCTGCGCAACACGCAGGTGGCACGCCGAGGCCGAACCGCGCCGCGATCGAAAATGCCCGTGCTTCCCGAGGGCTGCAACATGTCCTTTCATGCGCGTTTCGCATTTGGAGTTCTTGAAACAGGCTCCAGCCTACAGGCCCAGGCCCCGCAATGCTGCTCGCTGCCCGCCGTGTAGGCTGCTATGACTGAGTAGTGCAGCACGCTTCCGCATTCCGTCCGATTCCCTTTCCAAGTCTTCGGAGGAGGAGCCTCCGACATGGGGCATCAGGGTCGTTTCCGGGACGTCAGGGGCAGTGTCATTGCGTTCTACGAAAGTTCTGCAGGCTTGTCCACATCCAGCTTCGGCTTGCGCACTCTCTGCCTTTGCATTTCCGGTCTTGGCTTGCTCAGGAGAGCCCCTTCTGACATGCAGGAGGCAAGTGATTTGCCGCATGGCTGCAGGGCTTTCAGACACTTGGCTTTAGCAGACTCCCCCTGTCGCCCGAGCCCGAGGTCAACCTACCGGCCGTCTCGGATCGATGAAAAGGTGAAGCCCGACAAGAAGCAACGAGCAGCTATACAAGCCCTTGCCGGCGCTGACGTGTTGCAGTTGCTTCTGCGGCAGGTCGTGGAGCGTGCTTCGTTGGATGGGGTGATTATCGAGTCTTTCTATCTGCAGCAGCAGATCCATTGGGAGTTCGAGAAGCACCCAACTCCAAGTCGGTTTGCACCACCTCAGACGATGAGAAATCTCCACAGGCTTCTGTCTCGCATGAGCTGGGATCGTATGATCCAGTTTGTCCGGCATAGCCCTCTTTGTGAACGCAGCTTCCTGGACGAGGTGCAAGCAAGCATGGCCTCTTTGCGACCAGGAGCTTTGAGTGACCCCAGTGGCCTCAGACATGCCAAGTCCGTATGGCTATAGGTCAAAAGCGGACGATACCGTGATCCAGAACTGAAGCTCAGGCTTTTTTTCATGTGTCGCCTGTCGCCTGTATGACGGGATCGCATCCATCGTATCTTTGTACAAACTCTTTGAATGTAGTTAGACGGCACGACTCGGAAGCGGCAGACACGCCCCGGGGGGGGGAAAGGTACTGGTCTGGGGAGGGTCAGCCCATAGCAGTCCTTCGGCAGATGATGTGCGAACAGGTCGCTAGGCTCACTTCGCCCTGGGGCGCAGGCAAAAGCTCTGATACTGTCCAGGTCCGGGCTTGAACGCTTCCGAGTCCCGAACAGACGTTGTTCGGCGAATCTGTCTCATTATACAGAGTCATTTCCGTCTCACCACCTTTTTTGCTTGAATCAGTGTTTCTCTCGACCGCATAGCAGAAATCACAGTCGTCTTTCGCACGCGCTGGTTCTCCTCGTTGCTGCAACAGCTGCCGGCACGATGGCAGGCCCGCAGCCAGTCCCCTACCTTTGTTATTGCTGCTGGATGCCTTGCCCGCAGAACCTGGTTGAAAAAGGTGAAGACTTCATAGATATACGTAGACGTAGATAGGACCCCAGTCTCTGCCGGAGGCTTCCTGCAAAGGCACTGGGCTGTTGGTGCAAGTCTGACGTGGTTTAGGCGAGGATCACTCTCACAAGCCAGCTTGCTTGACAGGAGCATGGCGCATGTGGCGCGAGAACTTCTGAAAAAGGAGCTGGTGAATCTGATGAAGGACTGCTCAATCAATGATGTTGTGACGCCTTGTGGCACAGCTGTGCTCCGCCCAAGTCTTTCTGCCGTGTTCCGTCTGCATTCGTGCTCCTCAACCAGGTGCAACTGTTCGAGGCAAGATTGCGGGTATCGTCCGAACTCACAGTCGCCTAGTCGCAATCGCAACTACGGGTCAGAAAGAGCCACGATGCACAGGCTTTCAAGGTGTAGCATGGGAGTGGAAAGCATGGGATCTCAGCTCCTTGCTGTGCGGAGGATGAGAGCTGTGGCTTTTCCGTTGGCTTGGAGGCATCTACGCCGACCGCCCTACATGTTTTGGACATCCTGCAATCCTGCAAATGCCCCCCACATCACAAGAAAGCCGGTTTGACACTGTGCTTCAGGGTATGGGAGGAGCTTTGCAGAGTAGACCTTTGGAAGGTGTACCAGCCACCAGGATGATGTCATATGATGGAATTGGATCAGCATCTGATCTCTTTTTATAGGGAAACATCGATTCGCAGCAGCTGTTTGCCGGCCCGACTCCCAAATCCAGTAGCCCTCTGTCTGTTGATCTCCAAGAAAATCGAAGACTATAGCCCCTGAGCGTCGACAGGATGACTCGGACTTCTTCACGTGGCGGGTTGTCTTTGAAGGTCCATCAGATAGCCTGCCGGGTGCTTGGACTAAGAGTGCAGTGTACAGAAGTCGATGAGTCTATCTGAGTGTAGGAATCTTGCGGCTAGGCCTTGGGTTTGGACATCTGTGACTTGAAGATTGGAATTTCGGGCATGGGGTCTTGAGCGCACAACTTTCAGACCGAACCCAAACCGCACACATTCTCAAGCAAACGACGACTTCCAACACCTAATCCCATTGTTCCTTGCGGCAGATCGGGAATGCTCACCGCGGCCCTCCACACAAAATCGTTCAAGCTGAAGGTACGAAGGCGGCATCTTTACCGCGATACTGAAGTTTCCAGGCGACTTCCCGAACAATCCGCCAGAAATGAGGCCTGGTGCCGGCCAGAGCGGAGGGTTGAAGATCCGAGAGGGAAGATTGGCTTCTCGTAAGCTCAGGTTCAAGTTCGGGGGCTGGTGATGGGTCGCAGAGTTTCGGAAGAGGTCCTGGGCCTGCCAGCGAAACAAGTGTCAGTGTCAGGTTTGAGACAGAGATGTGGCATCCCAACATCTACCCGGATGGCCGTGCACTCCGGGCGAATTGCGTTCAGTGTCAGAACGAAGCGACAGACATCGCTGCAGGGGGAATCTCGTGATCGTGAGACCATGGCTTGCAGTTGGCTCTGCTCGGATGTTTTCCGGCTCTTCCTTTATAGCCTGCTTAGCATGTTATAAGGTTTGCTTTACACTCTGGAGCCGATGCTTTCAAGCTCCTGTTTCATGGGCCAGGTCTGCATCTCGATCCTACACCCACCAGGGACGGACAGATTCAACGATCAGGCGGAAAGACCGGACATAGTCGCACACGCACACACTACTTGAAAGCAGGGCGGTGTGTTGCAGCTGTTGGTCTCGCATCATCAAGTCACGTGATGCTGGGGTCCTGATCCTCTATACAGCACACAAGTGCACCCTGGCTTGGCCGGCGGCTTTTTGCCCATGCACACGTCTATCGGCTTTTGCTCACCTTCCTTTGCCCAGCAGAACGTCGAAATTTCTGCAGGAGACGGCCGATGAACGCTGGCGGCCGATCCTCGGGGTGCACAGCATCTTAATCAGCGTGGGCCCGGCCAGTTCTTGGCTTCACGGAGTCCACGCATGAAGTTGCTTCTTGTGGAGGGGGGGGGGGTGGGGGTGTTTTTCCTAAACCCCTAAACCCTAAACCCTAAACCCTAAACCCCTAAACCCCTAAACCCCTAAACCCCTAAACCCTAAACCCTAAAGCCCTTTGCCAGGTCATCTCGATGCTCGTAGACCCGAACTTGAACTCTCCGGCGAACATTGATGCCGCAGTCCACATGAAGAACGACTTCGAGGGCTGGAAGAAGAAGGCACAAACCACACTTTGAAGCGCGTGGGGAGAACCCGAAGCGGCCCCAATTGTGACTTCTTGAATTGTTTGTGGGGTCGGGGAAGATCTGGATGCAGTTTGTGCCCCTTAAATACTATTTAGATGGCTGCACAGGGGTCCTATGAGTCAAGATGATCAGAGTAAAGAAGCGTCGGATGGAGCCTTGCAAGGCTCCAGGCCCGGTTATCAAACTGAACTGTGCAACTTAGGACAAACCTGTAGCCGAAAAGACCAGGCTTTTAGGATTCCTCATTGAGGTTTCAATATATATATATATATATATACATATATATTACCTTTAAAAGGCAGGTCTTTTGCGCCACAGGAAGAGACTATCGCTCCTCTGGGCTGTTTCTGCTCAGGTAAGGCAGCTGACGCGGAAGAGTGTGGAAGGCTGAGAGGATCCAGGTGCTGTCTCTTTGAACGGAAGTTGGGACAGCTCACTGCTGACACTCGCGCTAGCAGGCACTAGCCCCACCCAAAGATACGAGGGATACTCTCTTCAACCTGTGCAGACAGAGCACATGGATCTGCGGTCTGGCTGAAGATGCAGTCTCACATCATCCCCAAGCGGCCAATGAACAAGTCTTCCCCAGCCCGAAGTGTTTTCGCAGAGCCCTGATGCCAACAGCGATGCGGCAGTCGACAATGCAAAACATCGGCAGATTCGTTGATGTCCTCTGGCATGAAGCCGTCAGCCCGAATCTACGCTATCGGTAAGTTGTTCCTGCCTAGCGTGATCGACCCCGCGCCTGCATCTCCGGCCAATTGCACTCGCTTGGAGCGCCGCTTTCACGTGTGTCAGCCAAAAGAATGGACACGCCGTGGAAGACATCGCTTGCAAGTCTGGGAGTTTGTTCGCGAAGGAGCTCACAACCGTGCTATTTGTAGGCGCAAAAAGGCTTGAAGTGAATATCACTTTTGGAACCCCTGATGTACCCGAAGCCGTGACATTGAAGGTTTCAGGGCCGGCTCTGGTTTCTTCATTTCAAAAACAGTCCTGTGTTTTTGGGAGCTCCTTCGTCGACTCAGTGCAAGGTCTGCGTGAAGCAGAGATGCCACCATAGTCATGGAAATGCGTGCAGAGGCGGTGCTTACTCTGTGTCTCACCCACGAGCGAAGGGGATCATGTTATGCAGCGAGCTGCTAGTATCGAGGGCTTGGCAGTTCTTTGACGAAAGACAGGCTCTGCTACTTTGCCCAAGTCGTGCGTTCTGTTTCTGAACTTTCTATCGAGTATGATCGAGGGCCAAGGGTGCACACATCGCTGTTTCTGAGCTTCTCACAGGGAGGGCGGAGGGTATCGGGCTTGGCTTCACACAACCCGGTCCCCTGCAGCAGAGAGCTCCAAGAATGGCCCAGCTCGAAATGATTCCGGTGCTTCAGCTCTCCAGATTGAGGACCAAGAAAGATGACGCCGGGTGACTCCAAGTGTGCTGTGGCAGTCCAAGGCGTCATCGCTCACCCGTAACTGAACGTAGGCCGGAGCCTGCACTGCTTGTAGGTCGCAAGTGCTAGGACTTGTAGGAGGGTTCCGGGACAACACGGGACAACTTTACCTGCACCTTCTTGAGACAAGGATCATCGCACTTGGAGTCACTGTTGTGCAGCGACGAATCCCTCGGATTCCTCGGATCGCTCGCCTGGCAGTCTGTGGAACGATTCTCCACAGGGCACAAGCGAGCGACCTTCGGCAGAGTCCTAAAGACTGGCGGCAGAGAGTCGTGCAAAAAGAGGGGTGTGCCCCTGGTGTCCTCGGAGCCTGCGATGCAGTTTCAGGTAGTGCTGATAGCAGGGGTCTCCTCTCCGAGAAGAAAACAGGCCCCCAAGGGAACTGTTGGCATGGCCCCGTTTTCGTTTGAGCAGCTTCGAGCCCTGAGATGACCTTGGAAGGGTTCAAGCTGCTTTGGCTTAAATCTTCATAGACATGATCAATGATGCTGAAGCAGCAGCCTTCCGGCATGAGTGGTTGATGAGTTGATGAGAGAATGAAGCAGACCAGCTGTTGAACCGAAGAGGGACGTCCCAAACCCAACTGTCCTACACCCAGCTACTGGGCGAGTCCTTCGCCCGCTTTAGACCATCTACCCTGAACGTCCCTTCAAACAAGGATCTTTCACGATTCGGGTCATAGAGTTTGGAGCCTACTGTGGAGTCTCCGACATCATGGCCGCGGATCAGATAAAAGGTCTGATGAACTTTGCTGGAAAGTCGCCGTACGGCCAAGATGGCTTGCAGCCAGAGACGCCGGGAGCTTGGACCCTTCGATCAGGATTTAACGATCGTCACTGTTGACGAAGACCATCTGTTTCCAAGTAGACTGCTCAGTGCACATTCTGACCTTGCTCTGTACCACCAGCCATCGCTAAACGCCTGGCCAGCATCAGCAAGGTTCTGCAAGGGTGGTGGCGCAGCGGTGACGATGGTGTTGGTAGTGGCAGTCGTAACAGATCCTGTGTCCTGTATGCTCTTCTGAAATCTCAGCACCGCATCTGTCCCAGATGCTCCTTAAGCTCGGCCCAACTGTCTGTCAAGCTTAGGTGGATGCAGGACGAGCAGTCAGGCGCAACTTTGCCATCAAGACGAAGACTTTCCTTCTATGTCCAAGACTTCAATTTGTCATGCATGCTTCTCGTGTCTGCCGCTGCTGCGCACTCCGGGTGATGGCAGTCCATAAACAAAGCGCCTGGCAAGGCAGACCTTAAAGCAGGCCATGTGCAGGTCTTTTCGTGCATGCCCGCCATGGCCGACGCATAGTAGGCGAGGTGGATTACGCCGGGCCTGCCGCCCTTCGCGCCCTTGCCCAATTGAACCTTCTGCCAGCTGTGCCGGCACCCGTAGCACAGGCGGCACCAGCGGCACCGGCGTCCGATGCTGATGAGACACTCACGAAAAGGCTCAGCGAGTGCACACCCTTGGTAATGCCCCCCGCGAGTGCACGCCGGCAGCGCATGACGATGCCCGCATGCGGCCCCCGCACAGGTTGAAGAGGCGACCCCCGGATTTGCACCGGCCCGTCTCTGCGCGGCCCCCTCTTCGTGTGTTCTGCGACGGCACGTGGGTCGGGGGTGTGAGGCCCTGCGTTTCCTCTTCATTGGACCGATGCGACGCGAGGGTCGGAGCAAGCGGCACAGCAACTCCTCGGATGACGTGCCTGCCTACGTCGCAAGGGCTCGAAGTTCCGTCGGGCAGCCAGCGGCGAAGCCCAGGGCGCTTGTCACTGCATGTTGCCACGGCTCCTGCAGGGAGGTTTTGAGCTGCGGCGCGCGTTGGAGAAGCAGTAAAGCAGTGGCCGCAACTGCGAACGGCGCGCCCAGGCTAAACCACCCCCAGGATAAGCACCAAATATACAGGCCGGCGTGCCACCCGCACAGACCAAGGCCGCATGCGCCATAGTTTCGCGACACATGGGGCAGGCAGGCGTGCTTCGTGGGCTGCCCATTGCCCATGTGACTCCATCCGAAAGCAAGCCAGGGGGAAATGGACTGTGCGTTCGCGGGCGGAGACACGCTTGAAACCGAAGGCTTGTACCAAAACGGCTGCGGAATTGCAAGACCAATCTGCCATGCAGGTCATGCAGCTGGTCAGGTGCGACGGAGACAGCAAGTAGTGTTTGAGAAGACGCTTGTGAATCATTGACCGCTTGCACAATGAAACGAACCGCAGGGCTTGGCTCTGGAGTGTCAGAACGCCTGGAGTGTTTGTCGTCGCATGTGTTGGCGACTGCGGCTGGTCTGTGACGACATGGATAACAACAACCCTGTGTCACTAGACTTTTTGCTGGATTCCCCTCCTGAAGAGAAGACTGCAGCACCCACACAATTGGATGCACCCGACTCCGACTCCGACCTGAATCCAGGGCCATCAGCAGAGACAGTCACGAATGCAGAGCCAAGAAACAGCAGCTACAGTATGCATGACTCCACCACGAACGAAGAGGGGTGCATCAGCTGAGGCTTACTTTACTCCACCTTGTGCAACACGCTTTGATCTGCAAGAGCCTGCACAAGAAGATCCTTACTTCTCTTTCGAGGCTTTTTCTGCTTTTGAGCTCGACAAGATTGTGGAATATCCACGTGATGTAGAGAACGCTGGAACGGAAGACTTGGGGATTCCAATTGAAGATTTCGGCAATCGGCTTGGCCTTGGTGTAATGTCGCTCCTAGCTGCCAAGGGACTCACTGCTGAACAGCGCAGTCTGCTGCAGGCCGCAAAGGAGCCTATGACGACAGCCGGCGTGCAGGCAGATCTCTTCCTCTGCACAAATGGTTCGAGAAGCAGACCTTTCCAGAATGTGCTGCTTGTGACAGCATCCTTCTGCAGATGCGCCTGGCAGCCCGGCGGCGGTGGCAACCTCCTCTAAGGGACACGGTAGTCAAGCGTGCTCCTGTCTTTGTGGCAAGACGAATGGGCAGGACAAGTGCCGACCAGCAAGCGACTTCCGGCAAGGTGGTGATGGAGGGGTTCGGGCATTCCCGTGCTCATATCTGACGACTTCCCCCACCACCAACATTAAGGAAACGAGCCGAGCAGAACTCCTAGCTCGAGGCCGCTTCCATGCCTTGCAACACGAAGGCACTTGCGCCCTGCCTGGCCTCCTTGCTCGATCCCAACGGCAAGATGCTGCCACGCCATGCTGCAACGCTTCGGTTGTGCTACAGTGTTGAAGCAGGGCATTGTGGTGTGGCACCCGGCCAACTACCAAGGCACGGGTCTTCGATGTTGCCATATCCCATTTTGTTAGCGGTTGTGCCCACCGATGCTAAAGGATGCTGAAGGCATAGAAGTCGTCGCTAGCCCTTTTCTGGGCACGGCTCCCCCCGCGTGAAATCGGAGGTTGTTCCGAAGCAAGCAACAAAACGAACAGCCTTCACCAGAGAGAGGCGTGTCCGGAAACGACCGTGGGTCACGGTCAGAGAGCAACTACTACAAGCATGATGGTTCACTGCCTCACAAACCAAAAACAACCAAAAACAAAAACCAAACCAACACCAAACACAGACCAAGCCAGGAACCATCAATGCGCAAAGAAATGCGTCAGTGGTATGTACAAGCCTGTTCATTCAGCCACGCTCAGAAGGGAGAAACTCATATCTCACAAGCTTCGGC